GTCTCCTTGTAGCCCCAGCTGTCCTGGAACTCACTATGTAGACCAGGCTGGCCTTGAACTCACAGTGAACCGCCTGCCTCTGCCTCCACCACGCCTGGCTCAAATCAACCATTTTACAATATATATTTTCAATGAATTTTTGTACATTACATGCAATACATCGCAAATCATATTTAGATCTCCTTCCCCTTTCTCCATACTCCCATAGCCTCCCCCATCAGATTTCATGCATTCTGTCGTATACTCTAAGGCCTATTGAGTCATAGTATCAGAGGATACTCTGCAAGTCGCTAAGGGAGAAAATCAGTCAATGTCCAACACCAGCTGTAAAGCCCAATAACCACAAAATGACCAACACAGCAAACTATCTCTATCGGTGCAGTAATGGCATTTTTATCTTGGGGGTAATCAACAACTATCTAATTGGACTCAAACCCTGCTCAGTAGGAGGGAACCCAATCATTTTTACATGTGTTTACCCATGTAATGCGCACCCAGATCAAGAGATAGAAATTGTAAGATGTAGAAAGGGGAGAAAGAGGAGGAAGAAGGAGAAACAGGGAGAGGGAGAGAGAAAATATACTCAATTTTGAAACTTACTGTTAAGCTATAATAATCAAGACAATGCGGTATTGTCTAAGCATAGACAAATAGATCAAAACAACAAAATAGCCAAGAAACAGACTCTCATATATACTAACTGATTTTTGAGAAAAGTAACAAAGGCTTATTTATTCAAAATAGATGCTGAACATCCAAATGCAAAAAACAAAACTAGACACTGGAATATATGCCATTGAGCATAACCCTGAAGAAAAATCTAGGTGATCTTGGGCTTTGTCCACAAAATAAAAGAGAAGGCCAGTGAGATGGCTGAGATGGCTCTGCGGGGGAAGGCACTTGCCACCAAGCTTAACAACCCAAGTTCAATTCCATGAACTCACATGGTAAAAGTAGAGAACAGATCCTCCCAAGCTGTTCTCCATATGTGCTATGCACATATGTGCTGCTCCCCCCATACGCAATAAATAAATAAAACAATAAAAGGACCAAAACATGGTAAAGATGAATTTGTTTTGTTTTGACTTGACACAGGTCTCACTATGTAGCCCTGGCTGACTTGGAACTTGCTATATAGACTAGGCTGGCATCAAACTCACAGATACCTTTCCTGCCTTTGCCTCCCAAGTGCTCGGATTAAAGTCATACACCACCAAACCCAGTTGTAAAGATAAATCTTGAACGTAATCTTAGAAATAATATAGTTCAATGGGGCCTAGTTCAATGGCTCAGTGGTTAAGAGCACTGATTGCTCTTGCAGAGGACAGTTCTAGGGGATCCAACACCCTCTTCTGGCTGTGGGCATTACAAGGGTGCTCTTACTTACATGTAGGCAATACACTCATATACATAAAATTAAATTAAAATTAAAAAGAAATAAGACAGTTCATGGGGTTGGAGAGATGGCTCAGTGGTTAAGACCACTAACTGCTCTTTCAGAGGACCCAGGTTTGATTCCCAGCACCCACATGGCAGCTACAAACCATCCTTAACTCCAGTTCCAGGGGAATCTGAAGCTCTCTTCTGACCTCCATGGCATTGCATGACATGGGTGCACTCACATACATGCAGGCAATACACTCGTACACATAAAATAAAAATAAAATATTAAAAAAAAGAAATAAAACAGTTCAAAGACTATTTTGCAAACAAGAAGCTCAGACCCATAGAGATACTGTGATGTGTCTAGGCTTTACTTATTTTCCTGTGGACTGCACGTAAATATATACACTGTGATAAATTTTAATTTTTATTATTTATTTATCTGTTGTTTTTTAATGAAGGGTAAGAATAGGGTTAGAGGGATGGCTCAATTTGTAGAGTGATTGCCTTGTAAGCATTAGGTCCTACATTCAATGCTCAGAAGCTACATAAGGGGCGTGCGGGGGGGGGGGAATAGGTCTAGAAAGAGTTACAAGCAGAGGGATGGGGGATGGATTTGATCAAAATACATTGTTTACAAAAATATAATTCTCAAAGAAATTAAACATGGATTTCAAAAACCGCCAGGCATGGTGGCACATGCCTTTAATTCCAGCACTGAGGAGGCAGAGGCAGGTGGATCTCTGTGAGATCAAGGCCAGTCTGGTATATAAGGAAGAGAGGGAAGGAGGGAGAGAAGAAGGGAAGGGAGAAAGAAAAGAAGGAAAGGAGGAAAAGAGGGGGAAGAAGGGAAGGAGAGAGGGAGGGAAGAAAAAGATGGCTAGAGCTCCCAAGAAACAGTGCTCAAGGTTGTCTTCTGGCCTCCACGTGCATATGCACATACATGCATGTACACCTGTAACACATGTGCATCCATAAACATGTGTACAGGCATACATGCAGTTGCCCTTGGAGGCCAGAAGAGGTCATCAGATCCTCTGGGGCTGGTGTTACTGGAAGTTGTGAGTCACCTAACATGGGTGCTGGGAACCAAACTTAGAAATACAACAAATGCTCTAAATCACTAAGACAACGCTCCACTCCGTCAATATTTTTATTTAGGGGTGTGTGGGTGTGTATGTGTGTATGTACCCGTGGAGGCCAGAAGAGGGCCTTGGATCCCCTGGACCTGGAGTTCCAGGACATTGTAAGCCTCCATGTGGGTGCTGGGAACTGAGCTCAGTCCTCTGCAAGAGCAGTCAGTGCTTCTAACCACTGAGCCATCTCTCCATCCCATGAAATGCTGTTTAAATAAAAGGTGTTGAGGCAGCTAGACCTATTTGGAAGCTAGTTGAGTCCATCCCTCACCCCTTGAAGTCTGTGCCAGGGAGTGTCTATTTGCTTCTCCAGATTCACTCCCAGCCCTCTTAGCCCATCTTCCAACTCTAGGTGTTTAATATATTTAAACTCTACCTTTGTTCCTATTTTTAAACTCTGCCTTCTAGGTTCCTTGGGAATTGTCAAATGAGGAGCCTTGGGAACAGACACAGGAGCCTTGGAGGGCATTGCACAGTTCACTGCCCAGTCCCAGCTCAGTGGGTCAATAGCAATGGTTGCAAATCCCTCAGTTGGAGACCTAACCTTCTCCCAAGGTACCTGCCCTCCCCTCTACTGACTTTGGGCCTCAAAGGGTGAGCATTCACGATCCTGTCCCTCAGGCCTTCTTCACCCTCTGTCTGGGCTGAGCACCTCCCTTTGCCCACTGGAGGTGGGATTTGGCTTCAGGCTCTAGTACCTTGGGAAAGGTCAAGCCACCTGGGCTTCCTGTCTAGCCAGAAGGTGGAGCCCCACACCCTTCTCTGTGAGTATGGTGTGCATGCACATAACACTGGTGTGAGCAGGAGTGAGTTCACACCATACACACGCAAGCATTGTGTGTATATACATCACACTGATGTGAGGAGTGAGTTCACACCACACACGCAAGCATTGTGTAAATGTACATCACACTGGTGTGAGGAGTGAGTTCACACCACACACGGGGTGAGTCATGACAGGCTTAATCATCAACCTTATCCACCTATGAGCTCTGAGAGTTAAGAGTGGCAAGTGTCTTGGCAAAAAAGCACAATGGTGCAACAGTGGCACAAATATTATGGGAGTAATCAATCACCTTCTAATTGGATGTAAGGCCCACTTCACAACAGGGAATCCTACCTGACATGGTTAACGGGGCAAGAGCCTGTGCCTAGACAAATCACAGACAATAGAGGAGCACCTACTACAATCATTTTGCCAAACAGATCTAATATTAAACTGATTCACAATGACTTCTTGTCATATCCATAGATTAGTATATCCCTCTACTCTCACCAGAGAAGGTTCTTCTCACAGCAGATGGCAATTAATAGAGACCCACAGTCAATGTCCAGAAAGTAAGAGACCATGGAGTGCTCAGACCTAAATGGGATAACTGTATCACACCTTCTCTCCCAAAGGCTCAGGGATCACTGGGGAGAGAAGGGCAGAAAGATTAAAGAGCCAGAGATAGGAAATGAACGCAAAGAAACTGGGTTGTCTGGACACTAGAGGGTAGTTCCACACATGAACTCACAGTGCTTAGGACAGCATAAACAAGACTTGTTGCAAACCCAAGCCAGACAAGGGACTGTATCACACCTTCTCTCCCAAAGGCTCAGGGATCACTGGGGAGAGAAGGGCAGAAAGATTAAAGAGCCAGAGATAGGAAATGAACGCAAAGAAACTGGGTTGTCTGGACACTAGAGGGTAGTTCCACACATGAACTCACAGTGCTTAGGACAGCATAAACAAGACTTGTTGCAAACCCAAGCCAGACAAGGGCCCAGCATGGATGAGGGAGGGGGAGAGGAAGCCCCAACCCTAGCTGAGAATCTACTGGCAACTGAAGGGTGCTAGGAGAGGGAGAATCAGTTTTCCTTACTAGAGTGATGCCTGGTAGGTTGACTAGACTCCAGCGCACAGACTCATATCCAGGAGCACTTGGGAGGCACAGATTAAAATTGATAGGCCTTTAAAAAACAAAATTAAGGTGGATAATTAGCTTGAGCTACAAGATTGGACTGTTTCTCCACAACAGGGTTGGTCTGGGGTGCAGGGGATCCTTTAGGGTATTTCTTGGTGTTATCCTGTCCTGTGATTAAGGGAAAGGGAAACTACAACAACCCAATCTAGGCAGGATGGTAAGTGGTCCAGACTCTTCGAGGAAGGAAGGTGTGGGTCACCCTGCAGGTAAAAAAGCAAGACCTGAGCTTGGCATGGTGGCCCACGCCTTTAATCCCAGCACTCAGGAGGCAGAGGCAGGTGGATCTCTGTGAGTTCAAGGCCAGCCTGGTCTACACAGTGAGTTCCAGGACAGCTGGGGCTACAGGGAGACCCTGTCTCAGAAAGACCAAAAAAAAAAAGCAAGACCTACTGAGGTCTTTACTGAGGGTGAAGGAAGTACAGAATGGATAGTAGAGGAAAGTAGTTACTAAATATCACACACAACTACATGACCAGTTACAGAAATGGGAAAATGTAACTGGCATGAGTCTTTCTATCCTATTTTGTTAAGACCACGTTTGTGTATGTTTACACAAATATTAAACAGGTATTTGTGTTTTCTTTCCTCATTTTATCATGTAGTAACATTAGTTGAGATAATATGGGTAGTTAAATGATGTAAATCTCTATTATGAATATTTAAGTTATTGGAATATTCATCAAGAGTGTTTATCAGGGTTTTTTTTAATGCATTTGTGGTTGCATGAGGAATAGTTATATAATGTTATGTGGAATTATGACTTTGTTATTGTTTTCATTTGGAAATAAAGCATGGCATAAAGAGAAAAAAAAAATTAAGGGGCTGGAGTGTTAGTTCAGAGGTTAAGAGCACTGGCTATTCTTGCAGAAGATCTAGGTTTGAATCCCAGCACCCACATGGCAGCTAACAACCGTGTATAAGTCCAGTTCCAGGGGATCTGATGCCCTCTTCTGTCCTCCGCAGGCATTACATGACACAGGTGCACTTACATACACACAGGCAATACGTACATACAAATAAAATAAAATTTTTTTATTTAAAAAAAAATTTAAAAACAACAAAATTAAATAAATAGATAAAAGGACAGATAATAATGGGGGGAAATGAAATCATGGGTGAGGATAGTATGGAGGGGCTGGAGAGGGGCAAAGGGGTCTGAAGGTGATCAAAATACCATTGCATGAAATTCTGGAATAAAAAATTGTAAAAGAAAAACAAATATTTTTTTAATTTATTATTTTTATTTCATGTGTACACATGTATTCCCTGCATGTAAGTGTACCCATGTCATGTAATGCCCAAGGAGGTCAGAAGGGACTGTCATATCCCCTGGAACTGGAGTTAGAGATGGTTGTTAGCTGTCATGTGGATGCTAGGGTTTGAACTCAGGTCTTCTGTAAGAACAGCCAGTGGTTTTAACATTGAGTTATCTCTCCAGTCTGGAAAAATACTTTTAAAAAGAAAACAAAAAACACAAACACAAAAATAATAATACAGTTGTAATCACTAATCACTATTTGTCTTTGAAGATAATTTAATGACAGACTTTGTTCTGTTCATTAACATTTATCATAAGGAACTTCTTTGGTTTGGGTTTTTTGTTTTGTGTTTTGTTTTCCTTTGTTTTGAGATGGTCTCCTTATAGTCCCAGCTAGCTTAGAACTTGCTATGTAGATGCGGCAGGCCTTTGCCTCTGAAGTGCTGGGATTTCACCTGGCCCATATGCAACTTTTTTTTTTTTTTTTTTTTTTTTGGTCTTTTTGAGACAGGGTCTCCCTGTAGGCCCAGCTGTCCTGGAGCTCACTATGTAGACCAGGCTGGCCTGGAACTCACAGAGATCCTCCACCTGCCTCTGCCTCCCGAGTGCTGGGATCAAAGGATTGCGCCATGACACCCGGCGCCCATATGCAACTTTTTTTTTGGTCTTTTTTGAGACAGGGTCTCCTTGTAGCCCCTGCTGTCCTAGAACTCACTATGTAGACCAGGCTGGCCTTGAACTCACAAAGATCCGCCTGCCTCTGCCTCCCAAGTGCTGGGATTAGAGGCATGGGCCACCATGCCTGGCCCATATGCAACTTTTAAGAGTATTAATGCAATATTTGAAAGACACTTGACTAAACAGGTTTACCATACATTTTAAACAGTGAACTTACAAATTTTTTGGGGGGGGGGTCTTTTTGAGACAGGGTTTCTCTGTAGCTCCAGCTGCCTGGAATTCACTCTGTAGAGCAGGCTGGCCTCGAACTCACAGAGGATCTGCCTGTCTCTGCCTCACGAGTGCTGGTATAAAAGGCATGCGCCACCACGCCCGGTGAACTTATAAAATTTAAATTCAGCATTGTGACAATAAATTTTCTATGCATACTAAGGCAGTTTCAAAACCTCTTCTATGGGCCAGTGAGATGGCTCAGTGAGTATAAGTGGTTGCCTTCCAAGTCTGACAACCTGAGTTTCAGACTGATAGAGATTTATCAAAGAGTGCATCTATAATCCCAGTACTCTTATGGCAAGATGGGAAGCAGAGACAAGAGAATTGCCCTAAAACTCCAGGGTCAGCTAGCCGAAGTATGTAGAAAAAAAGAGACTTTGCCTTACCAGGGTGGAGGAAGAAAACAGACTCCTCAGAGTTGTCTTCTGATGTCCACAAGAATGTTGTGTCATGTGTGTGCCCATACTCACATATACACATCACACACACATACACACACACACACACACACACACACGTTTAAAAAACAACACTTCTAGTTTAATGCTTACCTTCTTCTGTCACCTCAGTGTTTGTTACAGCCTCTATCTTCTTGGAATAATTTCTTATATTAAAACCAGTAAGTGTGCTTAGAAATGAGAGTTCTGATTTTAAATGTCCAAGATGACTTCTCAGGTCTTTTGAAGATTCCCATCCCTCAGAATCTGATTGGGGTAATTTTTGACATGATTTTCTGAAAAACAAGTATCAGAAATAATTAGTTACCCTGGCAAATACTAAGTGATTCACTTACTACCCCAATTTTCTTCAAACCATTCGTATTTTGTTTCTGTTAATTTCTTCCCATTAAAATTACATAGTGGGGCCTCAGTTGGTAAAGTACTTGCCTAACTTGCATAAAGTCTTACGTTTGATCCCTAGCACCATATAAAATTAGGAGTTGTGGCCCAAAACTGTAATCCCAGCACTGGGGAAGAGGTAAGAGACAGGAGGATCAGAAGTTCAAGGTCACCTTTGATTACACAGTAAGTTCAAGAACAGTTTGAGTTATAGAAGACCCTACCTTAAAGAAACAAAAAAACAAGTTGGGCACTTGGGGGGCAAAGGCAGGCAGATCTTTGTGAGTTGGAGGCCAGCCTGGTCTACATAGTGAGTTCCAGGACAGCTGGGGCTATAGGGAGACCCTGTCTCAAAAAGACAAAACAACAACAACAAAACCCAACAAATCAAAAGGAAAAAACAAAACCTGCAGAGGGTGCCACTATCATTAGCATTCTTCCTTGGTGGTCAGTATAGGGACATTCTGAAGCACTGCTGAGCTTAAGGACTTCCAGGTAAAATGGGTTTATCATACAGAGGGGCTGCCTCTGTATGATCTGATGGAGAAGTGTCAGGATAAGAAAAAAAAAATGACTCTACTCAAAGAAAGAAAAAGAGCTTCAGAAATTCAAGAAAATGGATCCAAGAGGAAATCATTATATCAAGCAAACTAAGCCAGAATCAGAAAGACAAATACTACTTACTTTTTCTCATATGTGGAACCCATATTTAAAGTTATTTATTTCGTGGGCTGGAGAGCTGGCTTAGCAGTTAAGAGCACTGACTGCTCTTACAGAGGACCTGGTTCAGTTCCCAGAATCCACTTGGTGGCTAACGAGTGTTCTTAACTCCAGTTCCGAGGATCCGTTGCCCTCTTCTGACCTCCCTCAAGCATTGCATGACATGGGTGCACTTACACACATGCAGGCAATACACTCATACACATAAAATAAAATAAAATAAACTATATGAAGTTATTTATTCTATGTGTATACATGTGTTAATATATTTTGGGTGTAGGTCATGAAACAAGAAAGGGGATCATGAAAGAGGAGGAAGAGATCTTAAGGAGTATGGCAGAGGAGTAAAGATGGTAATGCAGTATGTATAAAAAGAAAGCAGAAGGTAGGACCGACTGGATGAAGAAGGGAAGCCAGTTTGAAGGGGAGGAGGCAAGAGGAATGGATGGGAACAAAGTACAATGACATATGTAAGAAGATGCTTTGATGAAATCCATTACTTTGTATGCTAACCTAAAAAATTAAAGAAAACAGAATCTCATCATTTCTAGTCTACATAGGGGTGAAAGTCCTAGCCAAAGAAATTAGGCAAAAGAAATTTTACCATTGAGGAATCTGAAGCACAAAAGGAAGAAGTTACCCAATCAAGATCACTCAGCCACTATCAAGGCCAGGATTTGAAGTGATTTGGCATCAGAGTATGGACACACAGATATAACTGAGTAACTTAGTTCCAATTTTCCTAGTATTAATCCAGTCAACCATTTTTTAAATTTTATTTTATGTGTATGAATGTTATGCCTGCATGTGTGTAAGTACACCTGTGTCATGCAATGCCCATGGAGGACAGAAGAGGGCAGCAGATGCCTCTGGAACTGGAGTTACAGACAGTTGTTAGCTGTCACGTGAGTGCTGGGATTCAAACCCAGGTCTTCTGCAAGAATAGCTAGTGCTCTTAACCACTGAGTCATCTTACCTGACCCAATCCAGTCAACCATTTAAAGTCACTTTAAAAAGTAGCTTGGGCAAAAACAATGAGTCTTTCTGCAAGGAACAATATATTCTAAAATGAAATGGAGATATTTTTTAAAGGTTAAAAACGCATTCAATTTTATGTCTTACAGGTTTTGTATTGAGTTCAATATTGTATAACTGTATTAATTCAACTGTAACCTAAAATTTTATAGCCACTTTTGAAAGA